TGGGAGGTTTTTTTTATTGCTGTTTCTGTAGGCTATGGATTTGATCACTAAGACAGGAAAAAATAAAGTTGATATACGTTATAATCTTTCACCAAAAAAAATACATTTGGAGCTTTAACTCTCATACTATATATGCTGCCAGTGCACTTTACCAAAGAGGACACTGGGGCAGATTACTAAAGCTGGTTTACTCAGAATCTGGTGCAGCTGTGTATGGTAGCCAATCAGCTTCTAACTTCAGCTTGTTTAATTAATCTCTGACAATAAAACGTGGAAGCTGATTTTTATGCAGAAGTGAGCCTGATTTTGCACTCTCCAGTTTTAGTAAATAAACCCCTGTCAGTCCTTGTCTACCATGCTGCCAATCCATTTGACGTATTGCAAGCAGATAATATTTCCAGCTGCACTAAGTATCTGTTCTTTACCTTAAAAGCATATATTCTCCCAAGGCCTTGTATCAAGAAAATTAAAAATAAAGATTTTTATTGTTGTATTGTTAGCATATATGATATTGTTTCCTGTCCTATTACACTTTTTGCTGCTTTTGTTAGGTTGTAAACAAAAGGCTTAACATTATTTTTTTCTTAGCCAATGTTGTGATTACCCATCAAGTCTCATGCTTAGAGAACCCCCTTTTCGTATTCCAACCATGCCAGTTGTATCCAACTCCTTGATGCCCAAATATTTAAATTCACTAAGGTTTTTCCCTTGAATTTTGTAAAATGAAAGGAAAGACTATGAGAAACAAATCCAAGCTTAATGTTATGGATGTGTCCTCTATGTTCTATGATTACATTTTGCTCTACAATAAAAATAAAACTTTTACTAGAATTTTAGGCTAGGTCAGGTTTATGTTAAATTAATCAAAACAGTTAATACTTGAAATTACCCTTAAAGAACAAGTGTGGCCAGGCGATGCAAATTTAGGTAAATATTCCCATATTAAATCTTAAGTAGTAGTAAAGAAGATTTAAAGTTCAACTCCAGTAAACCTAAAAATCCTACCTTGCAGCAAGCTGTGCCCACACTGCAAGTTTTAAATGCCCATTTTTGCCTAGGGGATAGAAAAGCATTTCCACCTACCTGATCCTTCACCCAACCGGCAGATGCTTCAGCAGTGGTCTGTTCCCCAAGACCCCTCAAGCTTCAGCAGTGGACTGTTCCCCAAGACCCCTCAAGCTTCAGCAGTGGACTGTTCCCCAAGACCTTTTCACATCTATCCTGGTATGTCACAATATGTTCTGCAGTTGCAAAAGAGCAAGGAGGAGCCTTACACCTTTTTACTCATCTGAGTTGTAAAATAACTTCTTTAGAACTTCGACCTGATCCAATACGAGTGACATGTTTTTGCCCCAAACCAGGATAATTATTGCTAAAAACATATTTTGAATAACCAGGATTAGTTTTGTTTGCGAACTTTATAATCCACAAAATCTTCTTTTAAATCATAATTTGTCTTTAGGAATTAATGCCCCTTACATTGATGGCAAGTGTTTGTCATAATGTCACACTTATAGAAAGCTAAAAAGATCTGTCATGTGGCATTGGCCCCAGAACTGTGCAGGCACCATCAAATGGAAAGTTAATCAGCCACAGATCAAGGAACCCCCTAGCAACATCTGGAGGAACCTTAGGGTTCCACAAAACCCTGGTTGACAAAGGATGGTCTAAATACACACATTTGGAAAATGAGCAGTGGTGTGCTAGTCAAGAACAGGATGTAATAAAAAATCACAGGAGCTGCACTGAAATTGTAGCATATACATTATATACATAAAAAAGTATATAAAAATGGAAATTGGTATAAACACTGAAAACATCAGGTATCATTTTCCAAAACATTCAGGATTACATGAAAAAAAAAAATCTTATTTCATTAATGGAACCTGCAGGCCGACCCTTATGCTTGTCAATTATTATTCCTTTACATTGAAAGTTTTGAGACCCCCCTTCTCTGATGAATTTATATACACTATATTGACAAACGTATCGGGACTCTTCCCTCTACACACACATGAACTTTAATGGCATTGCAGTCTTAGTCTGTAGGGTTCAATATTGAGTTGAAGAAAATGAAGGGAGGTAATCAGCGCAAATTGGCTCAACGTCCTGGGCTATCCTGGTGTCAGGTGATGGAAGTACTGATGATGATGATGAGGATGACTGAAATAGGGGGGCCCATATGGCACTAAGGGCAATGCTCCCAAAAGTACTGCACGCCGGCCTGCTTCACAGCTGTCCCCCTCCAGCCACCATGCTGCTACAGCGGTACGCTGACTACTCCACACCGATGACAGCTCATTACTCTGCATACCCACCTGTCCGATGTGACAGCGAACCACGTTTTTATGCTATTCATTTACCTCAGTAATGTGAGTGTTCCTACCTTTGATCCTTAATAAAGTGTTATGCTGCAATGTTTGACCATTCTTCTAGAAGCGCATTTGTGAGGTCAGGCACTGATGTCGGACAAGAAGGCCTGGCTCACAGTCTCCACTCTAATTCATTCCAAAGATGTTCTATTGGGTTGAGGTCAGGACTCTGTGCAGGCCAGTCAAGTTCCTCCACCCCAAACTTGCTCATCCATGCCTTTAGGGATCTTACTTTGTGCACTGGTGCACAGTCATGTTGGAACAGGAAGGGGCCATCCCAAACTGTTCCCACAAAGTTGGGAGCATGAAATTGTCCAAAATGTGTTGGTTTTGCTGACGCCTTAAGAGTTCCCTTCACTGAAGCTAATGGGCCAGGCCCAACCCCTGAAAAATAACCCCACACCATAATCCCCCCTCCACCAAACTTTACACTTGGCACAATGCAGTCAGACAAGTACCGTTCTCCTGGCAACTGCTAAATCCAGACACAGTCATCAAATTACCAGGCAGAGAAGAGCAATTTGTCACTCCAGAGAACACGTCTCTACTGCTCTAGAGTCCAGTGGCGGTGTGCTTTACACCACTGCATCTGACACTCTGCATTGCACTTGGTGAAGTAAGGCTCGGATGCAGCTGCTTGGTCATGGAAACCCATTCCATGAAGCTCTCTACACACCATTGTGCTAATCAGAAGGACACATGAAGTTTGGAGGTCTTTAGCTATTGACTCTGTGGACAGTTGGCGACTTCTGTGCACTGTGCACTCCACCATCCACTGACCCCGCTCTGTCATTTTACGTGGCCTGTTGTTCCCAGTTGCTTCCACTTTGCTATAATACCACTAACAGTTGACTGTGGAATATTTAGTAACAAGAAAATGTCACGGATGGACTTATTGCACAGGTGGCAACCTATCACAGTACCATGCTTGAATTCACTGAGCTCCTGAGAGCGACCCATTTTTTCACCAATGTTTGTAGAAGCGATCTGCATGCCTAGGTGCTTGATTTTATACACATGTGGCCATGGAGGTGATTGGAACACCTGAATCCAATGATTTGGAGGGGTGTTCCAATACTTTTGGCAATATAGTGTATATTGTAAGGATTTTGGCAAATATTATTGCAGATTCATACTCTTCTCCATTCTGAAGAAATTGATGTATGGCTTACCATGGTTTACAGTAATCTGCCTTCATGCCTGAGTAATCCTAGCATTTGTCAGGAAACTAGTGCAACTAATGCTAATTCTTCTGCAGATAATGCAAATTTTCGTGCAGCTAATGCTAATTCTTGTGCAGCTACTGATCATTCCTGTGCAGCTAATGCTCGTGCACATGTACCAGCACACAGACAAGCCCAGGCTAATATCTAGCGTGCACTGACACATAGGCGCATTTCTATGTGACATCGTGCATCGGCGTGCACGTCTTCCTGCATTGGCGCCAAGCTGCCTATTTAAAGGAGACTCTGCTGTGTACTAATCACTGGATGTTCTTCAGCTTCTTGTAACTCATGTTCTTGTGTTCCTGTTTGTACCGACTGATCTTCCGTTGCTGACTCGGCTTGCTCCTGACCGTGCTCTGTGGATTCTGGACTCTGACCTCAGCTTGCCTTAAACTACTTTCTGCCTGATCTCCTGGTGCTGACCTCAGCTTGCCTCTGACTATTCTCTGCCTGATCTCCTGGTGCTGACCTTGGCTTGCTACTGGACCTCGCTGTGCTTGCTAACCTGGTACTGACCCTAGCCTGCCTCCTGACCACGCTGCTGTCCCACTGTGTATAACCATGGACCACCTTGACTACATGCCTGACCGTGGTAGTCACCTGCTAACAAGCTATTGTCACCCGTGCTTCTTTGAGCCTTGTATCTCTGTCACCACATTCAGGGCTGCTCAGACCAGAGCTGCCAGGGAAGCCCTCTCGTCAACTCAGCCTTCAACCAAGGTATGTTACAGCATTGTAATAAGAAAAAGATCAGCATCTACATTCATTTAGACCTGTAGTTGTCTAAAGTGTTCCAGGAGATGGCTATAATTTGACATCAAACTCTTGAGCAGGACAGCAGATGTCCTTTGGCTGTCTGTACACACACAGTGTACACAATGGCCCTTTAGGCTGCTATAATGTGAGGAACTCACATTTAAATTTTGAAAAACTAAAGCAATAGCGGATTAAAATGCAGGGGTAATTTTTATAACATAAAAATACAAATGGCTTGCGCAGTATTAGATTTTTTTTTTCTTTTTAAGCAAAAGAATAGGCATAAAGCATTGTTAACTTTTTGAAAGTACATTCTGGGAAACTAACCTATCTATCCTTATTCCGCTACTGCGTGACTCATTGACCTGGAATAAGGATGTGCATATCTGATGCTCAGATAATTGCCAAAGCCTAAAAGGGCAAAGAAAGACGGAATCAAGCAAATTTGAGAAGGAAATATTCAAACAACATCAGCCAGTTTTAGCCAGATTTTTAACTGCCTCCCGCCCGCCATATAAGGAAATGACGGGCGCAAGGCGGTTCTCTCTCGTTCTGGGAAGACATCATATGATGTCCTCCCACTCTAACCGCACATTCGCGGCTCTGGGGGAGTGCAGCACGGTGATCGGTGGTGCGCTGAGTCCCTTGGACACAGCGGATCACCGGTCAACGGAAAGAGCCAAAGATGTCAGCTTGGTCATGTGATCAGCTGTGTCCAATCACAGCTGATCACATGTAAATAAGGAAATGCCAGTTATCGGCATTTCTCTCCTCACGAGCAGTCACGGTGACAGCTCATGAGGAGATGAGAGCCGGTAATCGGCATTCCTCAGAGGGGACATGTACGCTGATCATCAGGGCACTGATGATCAGTGTGCCCTGATGGTCAGTGTAGCCCCAGCAGTGCCACCTGTCAGTGTCCATCAATGCCAGCTGTCAGTGACATCAATGCCACCTGCCAGTGCCCATCAGTGCCTCATCAATGCCACATATCAGTGCCTATCAATGCCACATATCAGTGCCACCTATCAGTGCCAATCAGTGCCACCTATCAATGGCAGTCAGTGCCACCTATCAGTGCTGCCAGTCAGTGCCGCCTATCAGTGCGCATCAGTGCCACCTATCAGTGCCCAACAGTGCTGCCTATCAGTGCCGACTAACAGTGCCAGTCAGTGCCACCTATTAGTGCCATATGTGAGTGCTGCCTTTCAGTCCCATCAGTGATGCCTGTCAATGCCCATCAGTGCCACCTACCAGTGCCTCCTCATCAGTGCCCATCAGTGCCACCTATCAGTGCAGCCTATCGGAGCCCATCACTGCAGCCTCATTAGGGACTCCCTTTGATAATGTGCATTAGACATGAAACGCGTTAGGTAGGTGCCACCCTACATACAGACCTAGTCCACATGGTTCACACATCTGACCGGTGGCCATTTTGGATGTCTTTGGAAATTTACTAACCCCCAAGGTGATTCCTGACACACGAGAGTGCACTACATCCCCCTGGTGGTTGATGACAGAAGGTGATTCCTGACACGAGTGATCGTGGAATATCTCTCTGGTGGCTGCCGATGGTACACCTGGAGACAACACAGAGCATCTGGAGGTTGCTGAATTGATGAACACCCTTCTAACAGTGTCCCTTATCCAGTGACCAGGAGTAGGTCTGTTTACTCCAATGCTCTATCCTTTGCGCTATCTGGTTAGTGCAATCAACAGTCACATTCTATACCACAGATGTCACGGATTTCCCATGTCACCTTGAAATATCCACTGATATATTGACTTTAGCCCCATTGTCACTATGCTTTGTTTTTAGGATACCTTAGCATAAATTCAATCATTGGTTTCCGCACCTATCCCTTGATTGCTCATATGCATTTTATTTGATATACATTTTACTTGTTTATATTTGGTTTAGCGCTGCGTATTTTATGTTTTAGCTATCTATCAGGAGGCTTTTTGAGGTTTTGCCTTTTATGCCAGCGGCTTCTATCACTTTTACTACCCCATCCAGCGCTCGTTTTACCCATCTTTTATTTACCCTATAGGCAAGTGGTTAAATGCAAAAACATGCATATGCATAAGATTTTGCAAATTATATTGAATTAGTTAATGTGCAAAATATTTTTAAAGCATTAATATTAAGTAAAAGATAAAATTAATTACACAGTCTTTTTTTTGTTATACTTACCTTCAATCTGAAGTTGTAACATGATGTAATTATTTTTTGCAACTAGATGTCTCCAGTCTTCTGGGTTGAATAACGGCCAGCAACTTACTGTCATAGATCCAACCAGGGACCAGCGTCATCACATGGCCTAGGCTAAAGCCAACCATAGATGGATTGAATCTTGATTGGTTCAGCAGGCAGGTTGTATTTCAGTACAACCACCCTCTCTGATTTTTTGCAACCGATCATTGCTGGCAGCTATTAGACATATGCATTTCATTTTTAATCGTTTTTTGGATGGAAATTTCATTTTCAGAGATTCGTATGTACACAAATCTATGAATGGACGTAGAAACAAATGAAAAAAAAATTAAAACAAAATTAAGAAAGGCATTTATTTAAATTGTTTAATTCGGATGACATCACATGATGCGATAATAGTTCTGACCCACGGGTAAATGAATTCAATTTTCTCATTAATTCAATAATTCAGACTCGGATAACGAATGGATTTGAATTTTGTCCCATTCGTTAATTCAGATGCACATGATGCCAGATTATATTTTCATTATTTTTATCAGCATGTGCCATTTCTCTTGATGGGTTGGAATAACGTCCAAGAATATTGAATCCTTGTGATTCAAATGTGTCCAAATTGATAATATGTTGAATATATAGCAACCTTCCATTAAAACTTCAGATTTTTTTTGAATCCATCCAGACCAACAAATATACGACATGAATTGGAACATAACGAATATGAAGATATTAAATTCTTCAATGAACAAATGCATCCAAAATGGAAAGTCTACAGGCTATAGCCGCTGGCAGTGATTATTGTATTCTGCCAGCAGGATAGGCTCCCCACCAGCAGAATACAATAGTGCTATGGGAGAGATTCCCTGATCAACACTGACTGTGTTAAAGGGGGAATTGAGCAATTTTCTTTCCTTTCACCCATGGAAAATTTTAAAATCTATGGCTTACTGTATTGCTGCACTGCACAATGCTCACAACTCATTGCATCACACTCACATATAACTAAAGGCATTAATTAACCACTTCCCCTCCAGAGGATTTACCCCCCTTCCTGACCAGGCCATTTCTTGTGTTATGGCACTGCGTTAATTTAACTGACAATTGCGCTGGTCAAGCAACACTGCACCCAAATTAAATATACGTCCTTTTTTCCCACAACTTGTGCTTTCTTTCGGTGGAATATGATCACCTGTGCGTTTTTACATTTTTTGTGCTATAAGAGAAAAAAAGACCGACAATTTTGAGACGAAAACAATATTTTTTGACTTTTTGCTATTAGCATGTCCAAAAAAACGTATTAAAAAATCAAATTTTGTAATACGTGTAAATTGAATGGTTTATGTGAAAGTTTTAGCATTTACAAAGGGCGGTATAGATACTGGAATATTTTATTTTTACTAGTAATGGCGGCGATCCACGACTTATAGCGGGACTATAGGACTGCAGAGGGCATTCTTACGCTGCGGGGAGCTAATTTGGTGTCACTGACATCCCCAGTGACACCAATACAGTGATCAGTGCTGAAAAAAAAAAAGCACTGACACTGTACTAATGGCACTGGGCAGGAAGGGGTTAACATGAGGGGCGATCAAAGGGTTAACTGTGTGCTGTGTGCGGTTTTACTTGTGTCTGTGTATCTGTGCTTCACTGTAATCACACTGCTTTGGATGGCTGTGCTGTGCACAGCCATCCAAAGCAGTGTGCACGAGCTGACAGGGAGGAGAACTGTATAGTTTACATACAGTTCTCCTCCCTGTCAGTGATGCTTGGCAATCACCGGGAACTGGCGAGTAATCATCGACAGGGTCCAGGTGATTGACAGCCGCGGCCGCAAGTGGCAGTGCGGATAGGGCGTGTGCACACCTCCTATATATTTGCTATAGGGCGGGTCGAGAAGCGGTTAAATAATCATAAGTAAACAAATGACCTTATTACATCATATGATCAGTTATGTGATGACTGTAGAGAAATCTTGCTCAGGATATAGTTAACCTGATTAACAATTGCTTAAATTGAAAATAAATTTAAAACATTTTTCTACAGAGAATAATTGCCACTAAATGGAAACTAATTTGACCAATATATAACCATTTTACCTCTCATTACTAACCCTTTTGCAGCAGAATCCACAAATGTATATTATGTTCAATTACTATTCATTGAATATTTAGAGTGTCCATATTTGTTTTTAGACTGTATAGCAGAGTAAAAAAAAACTATGCTCAAAAAGTAAACCTGTGCCAAGATCATGCACACTATGCTAATACATATTTACATATTTTGAACAAGCAGTAAAAGCACTTTATAACAAGCTCCCAGTCACTTTTGTAGCTGTAGGCATTGTAGAGAAATTAATTTTCAAATTTCACAAAAGAGGCATTGAAATGTAAGTTCTTTTCTACCACAAACATACAGTAGGGGTGTGTAAACTGTTAGTAAGGACTGAAACCTGACTTTAGAATCCTTGTTGGGGTCTTTGAAAATAATTTAACACTCAGAGAGGTGAGTGAGGGGGCTTGATTTATATTGTTTTTGTATGTATTGTGGCAGAGCATCCCAAAGGAACCCTGGGAAAGTCCTGTTAGGGTTTTATAGATCTCCCTTCCTTTCCTATACCTTTAGGGATTTCTGATATGAAGTCCAGTGCAGGGCAATTAAATCCACCTGGGACCTGTAGCCAGAGCTCTCAGCCTGGGAATCAGACAAGTCCTGTCTAGAGAGATGAAAGGTTGGTGGAAACTAACTAGCTGTCTATGGTGTGACTGACAAGTGGTAGGTTTGATCAGTTGGGTAATAAGGACCTGCATTATTGTGTAGTGAGAGCCGTGATACGGCTAGGGTTTTCTTTAGATATTTTCCTTCCCTGTTTTATTTGGTTAAACACTGTACAGCACTTTGTATATAGTCTTTTGTAAATAGCACTAATAAACACCTTCACTGTTTGCCACTAATCTCACCGATATTATCTGTGCCTGAAAGACTACTTACCCCAGGAAGCATATATCCTGGCTGTCTATCCCCAGCTCACAGTATATATCCATTCAGTTGTATCTGACTTTCAGTTATTCTATGGGCCAACTCACTGGGCAACATGTTTTGACATGCTTAAAAGCTATTTCCATAGAATTTTCTTGCCAGGTTTATACTCAACCCCTCCCAAATGCTTGGCTTTGGACGAAGAAAGTTATAACACACGTGCATAGCTGATAAGTACACACATTCTAGTACCATTTTAGACAGGAGGCAATTAACCTACTAAAAAAAGGGAAAGACCAGCGCACATAGGAGCATCTAAGCATAGTAGTTAAATTACAGTGAAATTTACTGAATAAAAAATCTCAACACTATTGCACTCCCAAGGATGGTCTTGTAATGAAGCATACCGTGGTGCAGCATGGTAGAGTGGTGATGTGTAGCCTCAGATTTCCTGAACAGCCCTGGTAAGGGGAATCAGTGAGATCTTCTGCAGCTGAGAAAGGCTTGGAAGCCTCATGGCGACCTGGTGTTGGCTACTGTCAATTAAAGCCACGCCCATCGGATTGACTTAACTCTGAGTCTAAATGCCATACAGCAGGAAGGCTCAACATGTGGCCCTCGGAGCCTTCTGATGTGTCCCTTGACTTCAAACTAGGGAAACTTCTATTATATCCTGCAAGTTTGGCATGCTTTCTGAAAGCGCACCAAAACTCCTGAATGCAAGAGTTTTGGTGCACTTTCATAAAGTGCACTACACCTGCAAGATATAATAGAAGTCTATGGCAAAGCGTAGCTAACCTGCAGGAAAGCTCCAGGTGCACTTCACCATTCATGCGTTGTGGGTAAACAACAGAACATCAGTGTGAAAGCAGCCTTATAGGGGCTCTGAACAGTAAAGGCTTGCTTACATTTGTGGTTTGAGGGCAGTAAAACACCTATGGTTGAGATGTGTTTTTACTATACACCCCCAACCACTGGTAAAGTGTCAGGTGTTGCAATGGTGTCCCTGTCCCATGCTCCAGGGGGCCCTGTGTAGCCTCCCTGTCACATTAAGTTTTATACTTGAACAGGAGGGGCAGTGGGGGCAGCATATACAGGAACTGATCCTCTCAATTTTTCTCTTGCAACCGCTGA